ATCAACCACCGTATTTGCGAGTGATATGATAAGTGGTACATGGGAAGTAATCCGTTCTGATTCTTCTATTTTTATGAATTCTCCTGCAATAAAACCAGTTATTGTGTTATGGCTCTAGTTAAATTTAACCTTGTGTCAAGACGTATGGGTCAAGAGAAAGAAAACTGATTCTTGAACCCCTTTCATACTCATGTCATGTCGAGGTATCCGCTTCTTTTTTATTCCGTTGTTTTTGACTATCTAAATATAAATATTAGTATTGATAAACATGTGTATAATGTTAATGGTTTTTTTTTTTTTTTTTCTATACAAACAACGTTATTAATATTTGGTAGGGTGGAATATATAAAGAAATGGACATTTTTCCTTTTTTTTTTTTTTCCTTCTTGATTTCAGGAATGGAATGAAGTGGGGTTTTATGTGTTTTTGAAAGTGATAATTTGAGCACTATATTATTACAATTAAATAATCATTAGTAATAAATAAATGTGATATATGATATATTTAGTGACGTATTTGGGGCAGAAGTCATACAAAAGTTGATTTTTTTTTACTTTTATGGGATCCGTCGGAAATTCGTCGCTGAAATTTCCGACGGAATTTTCGCCATAAAAATCCATCGGTAATACCCGTTTTTTTTAGTAGTATAATAGTCATTGTTGTTGATTTTGATGTTTAACAAATTAAAATTATTTAATGAAAAATATGGCTATGTAAATTAATCTTATTTAATAATTTTATAATATTAATTTGCACACCTAAACAACACTAATTTCAAAATTATATATATATATATATATATATATATATAATTTTCTATAATTGTCCATTTTTTTTTCAACACAAAAGTCATTTACAACGTATAAAATTGTATTTTCATGATCCAAACATGGTAGATATTGGTCATTCAATTTTCTTATTAATTTCATTTTCTTTTTTCGTTCTAACGTTGGAAAGCATGTCATCGATGATGGGTCATGAGATCATGCGTGAATCGATCATTTGCACAATTGGTTTCTTAACTCGCACTGTTCAAGATTCTATAACCCGTTGTAACTGTTCACCCAAATTTGCTCCTTAAGGTCGTAGATTGAGCTTGTGTTTCGGCCCAAACGTTTGTCCTAAAACTTAAAACATGAGTCCATCCGATGCATATAAAACTTAAAACATGAGTCCATCCGATGCATATAAAACTTAAAACATGAGTCCATCCGATGCATACGCTATGGTTATTTTGTATCTCACTTCTCTTTCCGCAGGACTTTGCTTAGTATACTATATTGTAGCTTTATAAACTGTATTGTTGCTTTTGCTTCTTTCGGAATAAATTCATGCACTTCCCATGTTTCCGTCTACGTATATAAGATACTTCTAAGTGAATCTCTTTCTTAGAAGTGAACTCATCGCATTTGTACAACCAATGCAACATAATAAATTGAAATATTTATGGAAATGATGATAGTTCATTTATTATGATTTAAATATTTATGGAAGATTAATAAGGTTCATTAATTATGATCAATATTTTATAATATGAAACAATCAAAATTTCTATAATATTATATATTTATCAAATTAAATGGACGGTTCAGATTGAGTTGTATTAGTTGTACAAATATAAGAGGGTTTATATATATATATATACACACACACACACATAGAGGTTGGTTATTATACAACCCTTGACATTTGTGCAACCAATACAATATAATCTCAATCGTCCATTTCATTTGATTAATATGTGATTTCATAGAAGTTTTGATTGTTTTCCAATATAAATTATTAATCATAATTAATGAACCGTATTCATCTTTCATAAATATTTAAATCATAATAAATGAACTTTCATTATTTCCATAAATATCTCAATTTATTGGATTGTATTGGTTGTACAAATACGATGAGTTGTATTTGAAACAATCTCTCTCTCTCTCTCTCTCTCTCTCTATATATATATATATATATATATATATATATATATATATATATATAAACAATAGTTGCAACAATTTGAACGCTTGCCATAAGAGTTATAGGTTTTTTAGTGGTTGGTGTAAAACCAATAGATTGATTCCTCCAATGTTTGACCAATTAAAGAAAGAAAAATATGGTATCATTATAGGAATTAAAACAAGAATTATAATGTCATTTAACTTCACAAAAATACAATTCCAAAACAAAAAGGGAAAATGATGGTATTATTTTGGAAAATTTATTAAAATAGCTATTTTTTAGGGTTCGTTTCACCTTCTACTTATTTTTTCTCAATGTTTATCAAAATAGTCATAGGTCCGTAAAACTCACGTCTACAATTATAGACCCAACTAAAAGAAAGAAAAAAATACACTTTTTCACCCAGGTCTACAAAAAAATTAAAATTGCAGACCTAAGGCTATTTTAATAAACCTTATAAAGAAGTAGCTAAGAGGTGAAAGAAATAGTGAAAATGGTCATTTTAATTAATTTACCTGCTATATTTGTTCATGTGTTAAAATAATGGGTAAATTGCATGAAAAAAGTAACGTACTTTAACTTGATTTCTATTTTGGGTAACGTACTTTCAAAACTTTCATTTTGATATCTAAGATGTAAAGTTTTAAACATTTAAGTACCCGGGTAACAAGTTGAAGCATTAACCGATTATCATGCTGATGTGGTGAGTGATGTGGTATCCAACTCAGTATTATTTGCTAACGTGACTAGTAACATGATTTTTTTTAATCTAAAATTACTCTTCAACTGGTTGACCGAGTATTTAAATATTTAAAACTTTACATCTTAGGTACCAAAATAAAAGTTTTGAAAGTATGTTACCAAAAATGGGAATCAAGTTAAAGTACGTTATTTTTTCATGCAATTTGTCCTAAAATCATTTAACATTCATATGTTATAACATTTTTAACTATTGGTTATATATTTAAGAGTAAATTAAAATTTTGGGTTTCTGTGGTTTGTCGAGAATTAAATGATATCTTATTTATTATGATGTCATATTATATATATGTGTGTATATATAAAAATATGATTTTTCACTTTTTTTATAAAAAAAAAACAAAAAAATAGGCAAAAAGTTAAAAACAATCCTTAATTTAACGGAGTTAACGTAGACATTAGTCAAAAGAACCATGACCAAAACAAATTGAATACCATAAGCACCAAATCCATAATAAACATATTATAGAGACCAAATCCATAATTCACTATAAAATCAATCTCAAACGTTTAACTAGTGTAATAAATATATGATTCAGTGCACATCTCAATTGTTTCACAATATAAAACATTGATCATAATAAATAAATTTTGATAAATTTTTTATAAATATTTAAATCATAATAAACAAACTTTTATAATTTCTATAAATATCTTAATTATTTAATTTTTATTATTTATACTAATATTTGAGTTTGTAAAAAAAATTCTCCTTAAAATAAATAAATATCAATATTAGTAAAATAAAAAAATTAGGGTTAATAATTGAGCAAAGAAGTCGTAAAAGGAAAGGGATAGTTTTTTCAACGTGTGACAAATTCACAGCTGCTTCTTGTCAAAAAGTCAACATCCGCAATTACCCGCACGTGGATGATCTTTGACACGCGCTCTCTTCTCCTTCAATAAATAAAAATTTTCTTTTAAATTAAAATTAAAAAATTTGATTTAAAAATATAAAAATTATACGTTAAAAAAAATCAATAGTTTTCCAATGAACTATATAATTAAAAGATGGAAAATTCCAATCAACAATAACATATATATGTATTAATCTACCATAATATACAGAAAAATACCATATAAAATATGAGGAGAGTGTGTGAGTTTATTTTTGTAGTTGTCGTATATAAATATCTTATACTTAAAAAAAAATGAAAATTTATGATGTGAAAATGACGTGATACGGTTAGAGATATGTAGACCTTTAATTGATTGTCGTTTCTTAAAAAAATAATAAAAAATGTTCGTAAAAATAATGGATTAATTATAAGTACTTAATGAATTAAAATGATTAGTTTTGGCTTTATTACTCTCTATATAATCTACAAAACGTATGGATCTCGATATAATCTACATGCATTATATGCATGAATCACGAAGATTTATGATCTTTAGACAAAATTTTAAGTAACGAGTCTTGTTAATTAACAAGATCCAATATTTGACGATATAGGACGAGGACGTTTAGAAGTTTGGTGACATCATGAGTCGTTAACGTTATATGTTCGCGTTCAGGGTTCCTTTTCGGTTAAGGCTATTAATAGACAAGCAAATAGTGTAGTCCACGCTCTTGGACGACCATCTCATCTTGTCTTGTTCGTTATCCTGACGTACCACCTTATATATTTCCCTTTATATGAACGTTTTATGCCCTCTGAATGCGTATTAATTCTTACTGATCCATCTTTTCTTTCAAGGACAAAAAAACAAGATTCAATATTTAACAATATAATTGAAATTCAAATATTAGCAATTTACTTATAGTTTTAACATATAAACTTTATGATAAATTAAATAGTTGAAAATAAATAAATTATTTACAGATTTTTTTTTAGGATATCCAACCCGTTATACGAGCCAACTAATCCTGGAGCGACCACCTACTTTGCAGATAGCCCGGAGTCACCGCATTTAAACTTTCATGGCCACAAGGGGATTTTATTCCTACTTGGATTTGAACATGTATCCTTCTGCTATTTTTGACTTTCGGAGTCAAGCTCAAACCAATCAGACACTATCGTTATGGTTTATTTATAGATTTTTATTGGGGTAATCATGAGATCACCTATGAATAAAAATAAGTTTAGTCCAACTTAGACTTAACATTAATTAATCAATATTATATATATATATATATATATATATATATATATTTATGTATGTTGGAAATTCACTACTTTCCTTGCCTTTAAAGCACTATTTTTCCCCTTCCTTTGAATGCTGCTTCTTCTTCTTCTTCTCCCCCTTCAACCTCCCTCTCTCTCTCTCTGTCTCTCTCTCTCTCTTCATTTTCAGGTTTCTTGAATGTCCAGAGAAAGGTACACCAATCTCTCTCTCTCTCTCTCTCTCTCTCTCTTTCTCTATATATATATATATATATAGATAGATACACACACATACATACATATATATATATATATATATATATATATATGATCAATTAATTTGTATCAAGAAGATAGAGAGACCAAATACAACAAGCTACAGGTTGATGGATGGCCAAAGCTTTTTTTACCAAAAAATTATGTTAATCAATAAAAAAGTTGTATAAATTTGTGAGTAATTGTGGTTATTGATGCATGGTGGTGTTATATATATATAGGGAAGTGTATGATGATGCAGGGAAGAGGATAAAAAGAGAGGTGTTGGATGCATATATTAATAATAAGACAACAACATCGATGGGAAGAAGACAGATATTGATGCCAGCAGCAGCAGCAGGAAGTTTGAACAGCATCACACCCTGTGCCGCCTGCAAGCTTCTGCGAAGAAGATGTGCAGAAGAATGTCCATTTTCACCTTATTTCTCCCCTCATGAACCCCATAAGTTTGCTGCTGTTCACAAAATCTTTGGTGCCAGCAACGTCTCTAAGTTGCTCATGGTATATATCATATCTATATTTCCTCTTATTCTTCAATACTATTATATATATCACATTCATTTGAAAACCCATATAATTGTAATAACCTTGAGCGGTCTATCATGTGTTATTTGACATGATATCATTCCACCTAGCTTGGGTTTAGATTTAATATATTGATTAACATGTATTTCTTTTATAATGTGACATTTTTTTTATGTGTTTGTGAAACAAAAAATACAACTAAAAAGTTTCACATTGTGAACCGAATAGATATAAAAAGAATACATTATTAATTTTAGCCTTAGATGGAAAAAATTATGTAAAACAATACTTTAAGATAATATTTCTCACAACAGGGTTCTCATTTTAATTATGATCATGTATAAAGAGAGCTAGTCATTTGAGAATCTTGAAAACCAGTGGATCATTTGTTATTTCATTTTCTTTTTCATATGGTATATAATCAACATATATTTGTTTTACAGTGTAAAACTTAACATGTTTGTGAAACAAAATACATGTAAAAAAGTTCATATTATGAACCAAACACACATAAAACAAACACACTGTAAAACAGATATATGTTAATCAATACATCAAATACTAGGTTTAGATGGAAACAAAATAATGTAATACGATAACTTAATCCATTTGAACGGCGGTTCACATATTTTCGATTTTTTCAATAATTCACATATAATTCGTTTTAGGGTTTATAATATAACATATGTATTTGGTTTTTGATGAATGTTGTTAGGAGGTGCCTGAAAGCCAAAGAGCAGATGCAGCAAACAGTCTGGTATATGAAGCAAATGTGAGGCTACGAGATCCAATCTATGGTTGCATGGGTGCAATCTCTGCGTTACAACAACAAATCCAATCTCTGCAAGCTGATCTGAATGCAGTTAGGTCTGAAATCTTGAGATATAAATACAGAGAAGTTGCTGCTGCTGCTGCTAACAGTACTCATCATGACATCAATAATATTATCATCGCCTCCACTTTGGCTTCTTCTTGCCACATCGGCATCACGGCGGCTCAGCTGTCGACCATCCAAGCTCCGCCAACGCCGCCACCGCCACCACAACCGTCCATTGTCATATCATCTTCTTCTTCATCGTCGTCTTCATCTTCTTCATCATCTTCTGTTCATCTTTACGGGATTCCTTCTAGCACTTCTGGTTATAGTACTAGCACCATTCCTAACAATAATGTATCAAGCTACTTTGCTTGATGATGATGATGATTATGATATGAAACCCTAGTTCATTCTTTTTTTTGTTTGTTTTTGTTATGTATGATCATGACTTATAAAAAAAATGATTAAATGATTATTTCTTAATTAATTAGTAGGGTTTTAATTATTTTCTGTTAATTTTCCCACTTTTTTTGTGTGGAAATCAATCAAGATTTTTGGATCTTGATGTTCTTAGGATAAAAAGCAACATTTCAAGGAAAGGGTGGCGCCTGATTGATTTGAACTTGACTCTAAAGGTCAAAAGTATCTAGAGGTATCAGGTTCAACTCTAAGGAGGAATAGAAATCCCCTTGTGGCCACGGAGGTTCAAATGTAGTGACTCCAGGCTATTTGCAAAGCATTTGGTTGCCCTGAGATTAGTCGGCTCGCAAAGCGGGTTGGATATCTAGGTTAATAAAAAAAATCAACATTTATCACATCTCATTCATGTTCTATGAATGTAATTAAGACGTATCATATTTTCATTTATTTTAAAGTTACAGAATTTAGGTTCATATTCTCTATCTGATTATCTGTATTTATATGATTGGTGGAAAAGGATAAGATGTGAGAATTTCATTTTAGTGGCGAGACACGAGGCTCGAGATTTTGGGATATGTGATGGACCTATAAGATAAGAACGTATACAAACCGTTAACTTCAGTAAATGCAACGTCTAGTGATCTATTGTTTTTGGTAACTACGGGATTCAGACCAGTTTACATGCACCTCAATTAATCCAATGGAGCTTTGAAGATAAGAGTAATACTCAGAAAACTCTCGTTATTTTGAAGAGACTCAAACAAACGACCTATATATGAGGAATACTATTGATGAATGTTTTTTTGATTAACCTGGATATCCAACCCGTTATGCAAGTCGACTAATCCCAGGGCGACCGCCTGCTTTGCAGATAGCCCGAAGTCATTGCATTTGAACCTCCGTGGCCACAAGGGAATTTTTATTTCTCCTTGAATTTAAACCTGAGACCTCCTGGTACTTTTGACCTTTGGAGCCAAGCTTAAACCAATCAGGCACCACCTTTGTGGTTGACTATTGATGAATTTGTTGCCATTGAAAAAAGGATTGTTGAGCGTAGTTCTTACAAACTTACCATGTTTTTAGAGTTTCTGAACCCTGATCGTTGATCTGTAAACACAGTATACATATATAATCATAATTACGTATATAATGTTGTAATTTTTATTAACATAATGATCAATTAATGGATATATATATATATATATATATATATTGGAAAAATAAAAGAAATTTATTAATCGTTTCGATATTAATTAATTTAAGGAATTAATTAAATTTATTACTTTAATATTCGAATTTTATATGGTTGATTATTAAATTAAATTAAATTAAATGATGCATGTTATGCGTTATATATAGATATAGTTATTATATATGTATAGGAGGTCAGAGCCAAATTAATTAAGAGGACGTGAGATGCAATTAAAGTCCTCGCACACGTTGGGGAGACAAATCGTATTCCTTTGCCCTCAACTTCACATACACATTAATTTATGACTTTTTTCTTATATAATTTAATTTAGAATAAAATATATATTTCCCTTTGGTTTGCTGTAAATAATATTTTTTGTCTTTACAGTTTCAAAATTATAAGATGACCATTATAGTTTGTAAAAATGTCTGTATTTGTTTTCTGCATCTAAAGGCCATTAAAAATATTCGTTAAATTAAAGGTAATTTTTATTCTATTATCGAGTGTTTTTTGTCATTTACTCAATCAAATTCGATTTTGTGATTTTTGGTCTTTGTGGTTTTTGATTGGGTAAAAGATGTAAAATTCGATAATAGAACAAAATTGTCCCATCATTTAATGGAATTCTTAATGACCGTTAGAGGGAGGATCAAATCCGGACGTTTTTGTAAACAATGATAACTTAACAATCTTGTAATTCTGAAACTTCAGGGACCAAATTTGTAATTTACTCTTTAATTTAAAATAATATTCCAAAGTATAGAAACATTGTTTTTATATATTTTAGTTCGATGGTAAAACTAGACGAAGATGAATTTATGATAATTTCAAAAAATTACATTTTGATTCGTGAGTTGTTCTGGTTTTATTATATCTATTGAATGTAAAGATGAATTTTCTCTTTTGTAAACTAACTAAGTCGATATTTTCAAGGATTATTTCGTGACATTTTGGATATGAGTTTCTTCAAAACGACACTTAAGGGGGCCTATGGGGGCCATATAAGACGTGGTCGGAAACAGTGGCGGATCCTCTAAGGGCCTACGGGGGTCATATAAGACACGGTCGGAAGCAGTGGCGGATCCTCTACGAGCTTACGGTGGCTATGGTCAACCAGCTATTTTGATGTCTTAATATAATCTTTATGTATACTATTCGAAGCTTTATAAAAAAATTGGCCCCTTCAATCTCCGTATTTAAAAAATAGGAACCTAAGTCTTACTTCTTCTTACTTCTTCTTAAATGGGCTTTTTATACCTACCCAAAGAACCAATATAAAAGATCAAGAGTTATAAACAATTATCACTAAAAATTGACTCGTTGTCACATTTGGTTTGAGCTTGGGCTTCAAAGGTTAAAAGTGTCTAAAGATTCAGGTTTAAATTCAAGAAGGAATAAAAATCCCCTTGGGGCCACGGAGGTTCAAATGCGGTGACTCCGGGCTACCTGCAAAGCAGGTGGTTATCCCTAGGATTAGTCAGCTCGCATAGCGAGTTGGATATCCAGATTAATCAAAAATAAAAAAAAAAAATTGACTTTATATTACGCCTAAAATGCAGAAACATCCTAAAAATTATTTTACAGGATTCAAGTTATTGATATGACCAAGCCAAAAGGTGTCATGCCTAAAGTGTCGTTACAATAAATTTATAGGATGCTTTTAGGTGTTTTGACAAGTTTTTTTAGGATGACTTTAAAATAAAACGTATTATTAACTTCTTGAGAAGTGTACTATAATAGGACACTTTATTTTTAAAGCGTCCTAAAAAACTTATCAAAACATCTAGAAACGTTTTATAAACATATTGTAACGCTTTTAGATATGACGTTTTTAGTTTGGTCCTACAAATCTAGTTCCATAAAATATTCTATTACGACGCTTAAACAATATAGACGTCCTATAAAATCAGTTTTTATTATAGCATATATATCTGAATACGAACAGTAAATATTATCGTTAAGAAATATCTTATATATTGAAGTTTTGATTACTAAACAATAAAGAAAAGTGATGATAATTATAACGTTAATAAAATATTATTCAGGAAAAACGAATTAAATTAATCGTAAGCTCAACTAAAAACGTGTTAATTCATCGATTAGAAGACTATGTATTAATGGATTGAGATAAACATCCATGAAATCTATTATCACGATTAAAACAATTTAATGAATTTTGGTAAACGAACAATCACTTTTAAGGAAGGTTCAATTTAAGAATATCAAAACAATACAACAGTTTTTTATCGTAATTAATTTTATAGGATGCTTAAAATGTATAAACTTCCTAAAAAACGCTTTATATGACTTAAATTTATAGAACCAAATCAAAAAGCATCGTATCCAAAAGTGTTACAATAGGTTTATAGGATTTTTTTAGACGTTTTAACAAGTTTTTTAGAATGTTTTTGAAAATAAAGTGCTCATATTAACTATTTTGACACTATTTGAAAAAAGTGTCCTATAAACACAAATGTTCTATAAAATATAGGACACTATTTGAAAAAAGTGTCCTATAAACACAAATGTCCTATAAAATATAGAACACTTCCCAAAAGGTTCGATAAAATAGCTAATATGACACTTTATTTTAAAAGCGTCATAAAAAACGTGTTAAAATGCATAAAAACGTCCTATAGATCTATTGTGACGCTTTCAGATAGGATGTTCTATATTTTGGTCTTAAAGTTAGCATCCTTATAAACCAATTTTGTTATAATGAAATGTTGCATGCCGTGAAACTTCCAAGTTATATATGTATACATATATTATATAAGTAAAACATAAGGAAGCTAAGGGGTCATTTACCAAACGCTTACCCGAGTAAGCGTTTTACCAAGTCACATTACCTTACCAGATGAATATGGTAAGGATCAAGAATCTTACCCGAAGACAAGGACCATGAGTCTTACCCGGTAAGTAAAGACGACGACCCTTACCATGGTAAACGCTTACTGAGTAAATTGTTGCATAGGATGTCGTTCTAATGGACTAAAATCTTACCCGGTAAGTAAATAGTAGTGTTAGATTTTAGCGGTAAGCACTTATCGGGTAAGTGTTTGGTAAACGGCTCATAAGATTCAGAGAGTGTTTACTTTGGATCACATCCGATTGTAACGAAATTAATACGGAATTATAGAACAAGATACAATTCGACGAGCTTAAATAAATCTTGGTCCACTTCAGGCAAGATACATGCTTATTCGGTCAGCTATATATGATTGTTTGATGGTGACTTAATGATATTGAAAGACGTTTATACAGTAAACTTCTAGAGGAGAATATTATGTAGAAAGCTAAGTTTTTTTTTTTAAATCTGTTTCTTCTTAAAAAAAGACTATTATCTATACAAACAGATTAATTGATACAGACAATTTTATCAATACAAAATTTAGCGAAAGAGTAGACCAACCATGTTGCCATAAATGCAATTACTTTTATTTTCTTCAATCTCAAGATCAATTATTTAAATAAAAATTAATTTTAGTGAAAACTGCAAGAAGAGAGTTCCAACATCTAAACACGTAGTTGACTTTTTCCATAACTAAATAAATAATTTGTTTTCTTTTTCATAAATTATATATTTTTCAGATCTTAATCTTCATAACCACTGCAGAGAACATTGTTTTACTTGAATAAAATATTATGATAATTATTAAAATAAACAGTAATTAACTTTAAAAAAAAAAGGTAAGATGATTGTTTGTAACAGACCATATTAAAAAAAAACATTTAGAATTGTAAATTCGTAAAAATTTCTATAAAAGAAATTGGAACCAGAAAACTACTGACGTTAGTTTTTACTGATTTTTATGGTATGTACGTTTATACGGTAAAATTGATGTTTATATAATGGTTAGAATATATGAAACCCCTAGATTTACTTTCAAAAGAGTTTTTGAGTAGAGAAACAAGGTTCCAACATGTAAGGACAAATGGTCTAAGTTTAGCTAATGTGAGACTCCAACACGTCCTTCTAACAGAGGTTGGATGAGCATAGAGTGTCTCAGAGTGTCGAGAGGGTGCTAGTTGAGTTTATTTAGAGTGCTCAACAGTATCGAGTTCCTAAAATGGTAAATTTTAACTCTGATACCATGCTAAATATATATATAGACTATCAGATTTACTTTTCAAAAGAGTTTTTGCAGAGATAAGTAATCGGGTTTGATTCATTGATGACCCACTTATGCATTGATTTTAAAAGAAATATGGGCTTGGGCTAATTCATTTGTGGTAAGTATTGGGTTGGAAAATGGATGTGTTTGCTAATTGCTATGGGTCAAATGTTGGAACATGGATTAAATGTGACAAATTTAGAGGTCGTTTACTAAACGTTTATCCGGATAAGTGTTTATCAAGTTACATTACTTTACAAGATGTATATGGTAAGGACCAAGAATCTTATCCGATAAGAGCAAGACAAGGACTAAGAGTCTTATCTGGTAAGTGATTGCGACGACTCTTACCATGCTAAGTGTTTACCGGGTAAATTGTTGTATTCGATACCTTTTTGATAGACTAAAATCTTGCCCGGTAAGTAAGTGATTGCATTGAATTTCACCGATAAACGCTTACCAAGTATGTGTTTGGTAAACAGCCCCTTAATATCTTATAGGAGCCTCTTGAAATTTCTTGATTAAGAGATCCAAGACCCATCTTTTGACGTTTAATATGTATATGTGTATCAACGAGAACCCACCATGAAACACTCACACACCAATAAACAATTTAAAAGGCTGTGATTATATATAGTTCCGTATTTAGACAACTCTTTTACCTTCTCATTACTTATGATATGTATGGGCGAATGATTGTGTGAGAAGGAGAGTTAAAGTGAGAATTGTATAAAGGGATTTGGATGCTTGATCACCTTTAATCTCAAACCCACCATTGAATTGTGCTTGATACGGAGATTGATATGGTGCATCTCATTCTAATGTGCATTCATTTAAGAACACTATCTCATCCCTACGTTCCAAAAATATTTAGTCTTTCTCGAATGAATCATAGAAGAAGCCATTTATTTTGATGAATTAAAGTAGTGAGTGTGTTTAAAAGAAGAAGGTGTTATTACTATATATAGTAAGAAGTCGATGTTCAAAGAAGAAGAAGCCATTTTCATGACTTACAAATTTGGTCCAAATTGCAACAAAAATTAAATTAATTGAATTTATTTGAAAGCACATTTACTTGATGGGACACAAAGTTGGAATTTTTATGTTTGGAAAGATGCCATGCACAAATTGATACCCAATAATGCATAAAATGTTATGGTACAAGTGATGATGCATGATGTACCAAGGTGGACCTACGTAGAAACAGATACAGTGGCACGGGCTATCATTTTATGGTTTTGTTGTAACGGAAAAACAGTTACGTTTTTTAAGGGTATCAGAGTATCATTTTGTCAGATTCCCTTATATTTTTTGAAACTAAATTAACGTCACAAGTTTGTGACCGTGAAGATGGTTAATGTTGTTGCCTTTGTACAAAAGACCCGGGTTTGAGTTCTGTTTTTGTGAAAAAAAAAAAAAATACTTTTCAAATTTCATTTTGGGAGGTTTTTATATTACTTCTATGCTTTTTTAAAATTTTTGGAGGAGTTCCGAGTCGGATATTTTTGTGCAAGAGCATAAAATTAACCAACAGAACCATAAGAGTGGTGCCTGATTGGTTTGAGTTTGACTCCAAAGGTCAAAAGTACCTGTAGGTCCCAGGTTCAAATCTAAGGAAGAATAAAAATCTCATTGTGGCCACGGAGGTTCAAATGCAGTGACTCCGGGCTATCTGCAAAACAAGTGGTCATCCTATGATTAGTCGGCTCGAATAGCGAGTTGGATATCCAGGTTAATAAAAAAAAACCTACACCAAAAAGATACATGTTTTATTACAAGAAATATATTACACTTGACCAAGTTTTATTTTAAAAAACAAAAGGGAAAATTGCATCAAAATGGAACCAACTTTCACCTAATTCCTATTTTGGGGAACCAACTTTCAAAATCGTCATTTTGGGGAACCAACT